GATTAATTATGCCGAATTTAAATACATATTTTCGTCGTATTGATTTCGTTATTTAAAATACTACAAAGGCAGATAATGTATAATAATATTTTCCTTTTTGCGAAATTTTCTAAATATAATCCAAGGTGAGTGAGCCTCGAGAAAGTGGTTTCGGCCAATTGGAAAGACACATGAGCAGAAATAAATATCCAGAGATGTAGTCATGTAATTCTTTCCGCCCACTTAAAATATCGGAAGATATATTTTATCCCCCTGTTTTCATAACACAAATACCGTAATAAGTGCAAGCATTGCCGAATGTATAAATTATCGCAACGGGATAAGTCGAACATGGATAAAAATGAGCGCAGTTTCGGAAAATTCCGCGAATTTTTTTCTCGCGAGAGAGAATTCGCCCGAGAACGATAGCGCGGACAAGTGAAATCTATCGCGGAACAGGACGATCGGACTTTTCTTCTTGTGCGATTCTACGCGATTTCTCATGAGCTACGTCCTCCTGCCGAGAAGCCGATATTCTTCACTCGAGAAAGTTTCAGCGCTTCTCAAGGAGCGGATCGACTTGGCACGTTTCTGTAGACAGCAGCAGCAGCAGCGGCGGCCGCCCACCACCATCACCCGTGGTCCATTCTTCTTCCCCAGTCCTAACCCCCCGCCGCGATATCCTTTTATTCTCATCGTAAATTGATTCACGGCCCCGACACGGGCTATCCGCACGGACACACTATGAAAGTTTCGCCATACTTGAATTATGATACGTGTATGTAAGTCATCGACTACGATCCGGATTCTTCGTCCAATTCGACTCACAATCCCTAGCTACGTTTATGAATAAATGTTTCCTACCATTCTTGTAATGTACTTTTTAACAAAAAAAAAAAAAAACATGCATGATATTATGGATTATAATATTTTTACATTTTCATTATCTATACATTTACATGGAAAAGAAAAAAACTTATTTTACATACGTATGTGAGAGAAAGATTAAAATATTCCCCGAATATTGAAAACGCAAAAGCTCGACGATCATTATTAGACTACGAGAGGAAAGTCTTGCGACGCGCGCGCTTGACTCTCGAGCGAGTAATTTTAGCCTTGTAACGTCGCGCTCGTAATTCGGATTTATCCCATGATGTTCGGCGTTCGAGGGGCAGAAAGGATAATCCTGTGAACGCATTTAGCATTTGCAAGGTTTTCACGCTTAATAGCAGCGCATACCTATAACTACCAGACATATTTAACGGCACTTCAATGCAACGATGTATTTAAGTTTGCTCGATATGCCAAGATGCTGTGCGCATTTCGTGCCACGCAATTTACATGTTATTCCGGCGTTTATGCATACATTACCTCGGATTATTCTCGCGTTTCGTTACGTTATTTCGACGTATTTCACGCGCCATGCATTATTTTCGCGCGATATATATATATATAATATAATATATATATATATGCACTAATGATAATAGTTTCACTGGAAAGAAAAGGGAGATAAACAACAGTAATGCCACATTAGATTCGCCGCTTATTGGAACATTTCATTTTGCGAGATTTTAATGAGTTTAAATGTGTAATTTTTATGTGCAAATGAACCGAAAAATGTTTAAAGCGAAAAATGTTAACTTTGCAAACGATACTTCTGACAGAGATAAAAAGGTAAGCGAAATTGTAGTTTATGTTTATTCATCTCAAGTGAAACACGTTATTGCGCGATAATTCCATTGTGATGATCGACGAGAGAGTATTTGATAAATCCGACTTTCGCTCACCGTTTCGGTCACCAACGAGAACAAATCGGTTTAATTCAATATCGAAGAATGAAACATACGGGAACGGCTCGATCGCAACTGCATCGCTGTTTACAACAACGGAGAATCTCTCGAGATTCGAAGTGTTCCGTCCGATTAAACTCTGGCGTCTCAGCGTTTCCTCGCGATCTCCTCGCGTTTCCATCTCACCATCTCAGCCTTCTGCGAACGAAAGCGAAATCCGAGAGCGTCCGCTTGCTTATCGAGTTGCGCGCGTGTGATACGTCATCATACACCGAGGACTTTGTTCCCGTTCTACGAGGTACACGTTGGTTCGTTTTCAGGGACGAGCGCGGAGACGAACGGATTATTAGCTTGGAGACGCGTATACAGAGACACTGAACGGAACGGGAATCGCGGACAAAAGGAATGCACAAGTCAGTATTAGCGTTAGCATGTTAATTCCATTATATGTTCCGCGAAAAACGATAACAGCACGAGGCGGCAAATACGAGGAACAGGACAAAGTAAGTAAATCGTGTGATATAACACGAACCGAACAGATTTAAGTGAATAACAACGTAGTAGATCGAAAGAATTGTATCAACATAAAAAATTGCATGATGCAATGCATAACATTCTATCGATACAACTTTGATAACGTAATAGATAAAAATTACAAAGGCCTGAAGACAAACGATAGGGTATGTGTGTGCAAAAGTATTACGAGTTTTGCAATTTCTTCTTTTATGTCATTCAGAGCCATTAAAAGAAAATATTAAAATTAAATCACCTGCCTTACCCTGAAATATCCATTTTTTTTTCCCTGTACGTACGTACTACAGGCGTCGAGAAAGAGGACAAGAGACACGGACGTCTCTCTACCCGGGCAGACCTTGGCCGTATTTAACGAGTCGAGGAGCTAACGTATTTCTCTCGGCAGAAACTTTCCTTTTAAGCAAATGCAGAAAGGCGTCGCGCCCTCACGGCTCAAAGAGCGGTGAAATAACGCTCTACAGTGAGAAACGCGCTCGCCAAAGAACGCTTTTAATAGCTTTTTTATTTTTTTTTTCCTCTCTCTCTCTCTCTCTCTCTCTCTCTCTCTCTCTCTTCCGTGCTCCTTTTTTTCGAAAACCAGTCATCGATGTATTCGATGCCGAAGTCAACGTGCACAATGTATATACACGTATATGATACAAGAAACAAGACTAAACAGAGAGACGGAGGAGAGGAGGCGAGAGAGGAGAGAAGGAAGAGGCTTCGCATGCTTCACGCTGTTAATTAGCGATATTCGCAGGGTATTTCGTTTTGTATTTCGAAGCTTCGCACGGTCCTTTCTCGTGCTCAAAAGGCAAACCATCGTGATCGCCGCTTGTTTCCCCTCTTTTTTCTCCCCTTTTTTTTTTATTCTATTGAATCGCGCGATAATGTGCAAAGGGAGGAACGAGACTATAACATTGCGAGAGAGGACAAAAGATAAGCACGAATGACTAAATTTTATAAGGCCCTCGTTAAGCTTTTTCTTTCGACGCGCGAATAATTCTAACGTGTAACAAAAAAATGCATAGACCAAGTCGAGAAAAATGGAGACCAAACCGAAAGTCGAAAAAAGAGACAAGATCCGGGTTCGCGTAACGCTCGTTACGATTGTGTTCCGTTCAGATCATCGTGACCCATTTTATCCGATCTGATAGTTACGAAAAGTCCGGGATAACGAGAAAAATTCTGTTCATGTAGTCACACAAAACGTGAGTTAGTCACTTTTGCCGTTTGATATATTTGTGCTTATTTTAAAGACGTCACGGAATTTTCATCGACCGTATGCTCGGCATGCCATTTTTCCTGACACATTTCCTTTTTCGTAATTATCTCGCAAGTTTTATTTTTGCTCAATTATACCATATTTCTTTCTTGAAATATTATATTATGCTACAGATTGATATACTAAATAATAGCTATCAAATGTTTAATAAAATAATGTCCATTAAATGTTTGATTAATATAATCAAAAATAATTTTCTTTCTTAAATATTTATTAAATATCAATCGATTTCACTAAACATTTAATAGCTATTACCAAATTCTTATTCAATGTGTAATTCGATTGTCGACGCTTCATTTTAGTCTTCAAAAATTAAATTTAGCTCTCGTACAATTTTCTTTTTAAACGATTGAATAAATTATAAGTATATATATATACCCAGTGGAGCAGTACTACTTAATAGCGAAACTGGTCAACAGTAGTGACCAATAAAGCTCGAAGTACGCAGCACTTTTTGAGTTACATCCCATTGTATCGTCCGGGGAGTTATGCTCGTAAAGTCGATAACAGCCAATGTAACTGACATAATCACGAGCAGAACGGAGCGTACCAAGTAATAGTGATTATACGACGTACTAGAGCGCAAAATGAAGGCATGTTCTAACATTTCATCTACGAATAATGATAGTATCTTAAAACAGATTTAATCGATCGTAAAGAGAAATTTTCAATTTTATAAATGGCATTGTTGCAGCCTTCGCGCCAGAGAGATGAATTTTTCAAAAAGCATCAACAGCAGATTTCTTTAGTCTCATCTCATCACAGTAAGAAAGTGTGTGCGATGACGATGGAAAAACCGTAAAAGAATTGTGACACTCGGGAGATCAGTGGAGTACAGGACATAAATCACGAGTTAATTTTTTAAAAAGCACTCGCGGTCGCGATGCACTGCAAATGTGCAATTAATCTTGCCAGTGGGTCGTCTTTGTACAGAAAAAGCGCATTCACGTACAATATGTATATACATATATATATAGCGTATATTTCTAATTAATTAATTCGCTCGCGAATAGTTTCCTAAGAAGCAAAATTCAAACGCTTCTTTTTCAGGCCATGGTATGCTAATAAAGAATGCATAAATTTCATAGCATAGTTTCGAAAGTACGAAAACATTTTCAAGTAATTTTCACTAATTCGAAGTAATTCATGTATTTCATTCATCCGATAAAGTTCAACTTTCTGCTCTTTCAAACGAACGAATTTTCTCGTACCGCGCGTAAAATTTAATTTTCATTGCGCGTTATCGCCTCTAGATAACCAATTCAATTAATCTCGTAATAATGGATGAAGAAGCAATCGCTCAACGGCATCGTTCAGAAACGAGCAAAATGCCGCGTATAGTAGCAATCGACACGACGGACGGCGTTTCTAGTCGCCACACGATCGACCTGCCGATCGATCAGCAATAAACAACAGAATGATCGACTTACCGATGATGCAGCAGAAGAGCAGCAGGACCATTACTCGTAACGACCTCATAGTGTCTTCTTCGCTTGGAATCACGTGCACACCCAACACATACACGTACATTCGACGGATAACTTTTCCTCTCGTCACGTCATAACCGGTGTCTCGAGACCGAGTTGGTATGGTGTTCTTCTCCCTCTCCCCTCTCTCTCTGTCTCTCCTACTCTTCGTAGGTCTCTCAATAAACTTCCATTATACGATCGCCGTCAACAACATCGGTATTTAGCACTCTTTCGCACCGGCGCTATGAGCGAAGGCAAATATATATGCTTTATCTTCCTCTTGCTCGTTGATTCTTCTCTCTCTCTCTCTCTCTCTCTTTATCTCTAGCACGTGCGAGCGTTTACGACAATGTCGAGACGATGAAAAACATCGGAATGACAAAAACGCAGACACAATCGATATAATGTACTCGTTACGTCATTACGAGTCTATTCCGTTCACACTGCTTGACGCGACGGATATTACGCGAGTCGGCGGTTGCAAGTTCACGTTCTTCCGATTGACGAGACTTTCTTCAAACAATTGAAATTCAACGATACACGATATTCGAACTCCGCTCTTTTCGTTTCCCTTTCTTCCCCGTTTCAATCTCGCGGCCTTTCGAGATAAAATTCCGCTACGAAGAAAGATCGATTCTTGTTGGCAAAAATACTGATATTAATTGCACCGTAAACAACGTATCAAGCTCGAGAGTATGCAAAACAAATCACGATTCATCTGGTGATGAATCTAAAGAGGCAGGACGTGCGAAAGAACAGTTATTCCTTTCAAAAGAGCAAAGGAATGACCTTCCTCCTGCGCTTAACAATGCGAGACGGCTCGCTGTTAATTATGCGTCTCCTCCGTCAGCGAGACTAGCATTAATGACCTACCGCCACGTCAAGACTCGTTTGTCACTATATAAGCTCGATGATAATCGCCAGGAAGTAGTGCAAAGTGCCTACACTCTTCGGTTCGTTACTTTCGGTTCGTTAGGTACTCGCCGATCGGTGGACACAAAACTCACTCTTTTCGAGAAGAGGAACCCTTTATCGCGCGAACAATCGAAACTTAGGACGACTTCCTGTATATATTAACTCTTCAGTGATTGTAACGCGCAGCACTTGACGGTTATTGTTCCATGAGATGATGGAAAAGCCCGCGTCGCTTTTTGTTGATTGCCTGGCCTCTACAGAAATTAAAAGACGTTCTTCTTCTTAGTTTGAAGATCTTAATGAACCAAATTATCGCACAGCGCCGTTCATTCTCCAAGTAATTAAGATATCCGATAACCAGTAATTCCGTTCAATGTAGCCTGGATTCAGCCGTCGGTCTTCTTTCTCTTCTTCTTCTACTCTACCTCCTCCAATTCGTCCCTTTTACTTTTCGTCGCACAACCAGCTTCTCCGTTCAGTGTCCAACGTTGTTGTTGCCTAACAAAATTGGAGCACGATCTAATAAATAGATACGTCAGGGGAGTATCTTACGTGGCGACGATATTGCCGATGCCAGAGTTACAAGCGTCCGATTAGACGACCCGAAGCTTCCAAACTACAACTGCTATCTTGAAATCGAGAACTACTAAATCCTTTCGAGAGATCCCGAATTCTAGATGCTACGTGCGTTCTCTTCATTCTGTATCACAGTCGCGAAGTCGTATTAATCTTACAAATCTTAGACGATTCATCATGCCTGAATATTCTAAAAATATTCGTTCCAAGATTTTCGATAATTAGAATATCTACTCTGTGAGAAAAAGATAATACCGAGATCTTTACGTGCACCGCATTCAAAAAAGAATACAGTGTAATCTAATTTTTAGAGATAACTTAATTTTTTTCTCTCAGCCAAATGAGATATTCATCTCATTGAGAATAATTAGTACTTACAATATAAATATCATAAATGCATGTATAAAAGAAAAATTAGTACTACAAGTATTTTTTTGCAATCGGTACGCTGATTGAATAAATCGAAAAACATGAATAAGTTTTATCATAATATGAATATTTCAGCACCGTATACTTTACCGTTATTTGCAGCAGCTGACGACGTTCAACTCGACGCGAAAGTTAAATACTTTTCAAGCAATCAACTAACCAGAGAGAAAGATCGATCCTTTTATGAACGTCACGTTTGTACGAAATGATCGAACATAGTTCCTGCTATTCATCGTAAAAGTGGACCTACCTAGAGCTTTACGATATCTAGGACAGACCATACAGGGACTCGATTTAATCTATGCTACATGATGACGTGATGAAAGGTAAGTCGTATAACGGCCCGCGATTGGAAACTTTATCGACTTAATCGGATATCTCCGTGTATATGAATAATCCGTGGAATACGCTGTTACGTGTATGAAGGATTTTTCTGCTTTTTACCTTCAAAAATCCTCAACATGCCCGAGATCGTATTATTATCCGCGGGCTTTGCGTTACATAACGGCGGCGTCGCCCAACGAAAAAATTGACGTAAGCCATTCATATCGCGATATAAAAGCAATGGATTATTCCGCAAAATTTGCGAGCTAGTACAGCGAACATCTCTTTTACGCTTTTCTCTCAAAAACCTCTCTTTACTATTTTTATAGTGAAGCAATCATTTCCGCATTAATACATAATCTCAAAAGAAAAAAAAAAAAAAATCCAAGTTAAATTGCATCTTCAATAATCTAAAAGCTCAAATTTATTCATGTACTTGTTGAACTATAATTTAAAAAATAGATATCCTTAACCAAGAAAAAAGACATTATATGAAATATATAATGCAGGACGCGCATAAACCCTGCCTTTCTTCACTGCACCAACAATAGAGGTCGAGAAAACAAAGTTACAGATAAGTTGCCTGCCGCCAGTCGCTCCTAGGTAAACTCTTTGCGAAGTTGTTGTAAGAGCTTTTGTATTCTATGATTAATACGGGACATCCCGCACGTCGTGCTCAACTCGCGTAGTACGAATGGCTCGCACGCCAATCGATAAATCATTGTAATTATACCTCCGACGTTGGCCTATAACGTTATCTCGCGGGAGCCGAGTTGCACCGAGTTGCAATCGACCGTGGAATCTAAGACGGATTTCTTTGTCGCATTAACGGCGGTCCTCCTCCTCCTCCTCCTCCTCCTCCTTCTCCTCCGCGGCGGAAATAAACGCGCACGGGAGAGAGACTAAAACCTTTTCTCCATCTTTATATCTGCAGTTTATCTTTATAACTCTTTAAACGTGCTCTATCGCGCGAAACGATACATAGCGCCTGTCGGGTAAGCGTCCATCTTGTGATTCAGGTGCACCTTTTGAACACAGACGCCTTATCGTATAACATCTGAAATTGGGTCGCGTATATCAATCCGCGTACAGGGCGGGCCATAAAAAATTTCTCGACTTATTTACGATTCTCGAGCATACTTTGTAAGAAGTTAACAGTGGATAGAGCCTGTTACCACGCGAGTGGGCAACCAACGGTGAAAGCTAAGAGCATTAATACTTTTTAACACATTGGTTTTTATAATGGATTACATGATATTTAAATGTCGACGAATAATCGCCGCATCACTGGTGGGCAGAAATAAAATGCACGCGGGCCGTATTTATTTCCTCAACAGCAGCAGACAGAAAAGATACTCCCGTTAAAGCGATTAATTCGCATTAGTGTCAGTCGGGATCTTTTTTTCTGACTTAAGCGATCCGCTCACGATTTATCTATTCCGTGCAGCAGCTTTGTGTTTCCGCATTGGAAACACACGTTTCGAAGGTGACAGGCGTAGTCGGTCTAAACAATAGGCACGCGACATCGAGCAGAAAAAAATTGATGCCCACGTGCTAATTTGACGGAACAGATATGCGTGTGGGCGGAACGACAACTCCTATTCCAGCCTCGACACATCGACGACAACTTTCGCGGGCGGTATCTTTGAAACTATCCGTACGAGCACCTGCAAATTCATGAGCAGATGTACCGCGCGCGATCCATTAATCAGCAATGCAGTCGACTCTCCAAACTGCGATGCAAATAAGTCGCGTTTGTTCACGTTTCACGATAACAAAGGTCACGTGCACGGGCTCGTGGCAGACACACGACGCCCTGAAAACGAAATCGATCTTTCAGGTCTCGCGAAAGCATCTCTTGAAAGATCAATTGTATATTGAATAAGTTTCAAGTTAAAGTCCAATCGTTCTTGACGTTCTTTTCATCCTACGTTCTCATCCTTCTATAATAGCAACTTGCCGAATCATTTAGAAATTATCAATGTGTGATATTCAACGGACAGAGATCCCTCAATTTGCAAGATTAACGTTGGAGAGAATCATTTTGTGCAAGTAACGGTTAGTCTGTGAGGCGTATAGCTGGTCGCTGTCCGTTAATTCCGTCAACAGATTGCCCGTGATGACTCGAAACATTAAACGCTATGCGATGCTGCTGCATGGGAACCGCAAGACTGCTTGCCTGACAATTACTGCTTCGGTTGCAGTCGCGGAGCGGAAGTCTCGGAGTCTGGAAAGTCGAAGAGCGAGTGACGCGCAGTACACCGCGGCACGTCCAACTGTTTCGAAATTCGTCGAGTTCCGGCTGAGTTTCCACGTGGGGTTGGAAACAACCATTAGATAGGGCGGCAGAGAAGCGGGCCCAATGTGTACGTTTCAAGAGAGCTTCTCCACGCGAAGATCCACACCGGATTGTCGTTGTTGTCCCGGCAAGATACCAGGCGTACGTGAGCCCGTTCAGCATCCCGAGATTAGGGACAACCGCACGAATTCCGGGACGCTTGTCGTATCGACATTCCGAGGAAAATCGAGGAATCGCGATCGATTACGTGCGAGCCACCCTGGACCATGTTTCAGCAACGCTATCGTGAGAGGAAACGTGTATATTGAGAAAGTATCGAAATTACTCGTTCGAGAATAGATTTATTGTGGGGGATTTTTACAAAGCGTGTAAAAGAGAGCACGTTCGTTATATTAAATTCGCATAATGTCACAATAATAAAAGAGAACAAATATTTTATATAAAGACTACGGTAAAACGAAAATTGTGTATTTTTAGACAAATTATTTTAATATCATTCGAATACAGCGACGAACAAAGATCTTGAAATATAATACAAAGCAAATATTCAATATTACAATTAAAAATTTGTTTACGCAAATTGCATTACGTGATTTCGCTTTATATATTTTTTTTTTTTTCGAAATAAATAAAAACGTGTGCTGTGCTAAAAATATTTTCATAAATAAAAGAAAAAGATTTTATTCGTTTCACTTGATAGCTCCAGAGATTTAATGGATTGCAGTCGTAAGCGTATTATTTGCACGTTGAACTAACCGATGGAACTAACGGAAGATTCATAAATTTGAAAGAGGCCGAACAAATCGCCAGCGCCCGAATAAAGCTTTCGTGTGCGAAAATTTACTCTCGTGAGAAAATTATTGAAACACGCCGTCGGCCGTCACGCATATCGCTGACACGAGTCCACGCATTTATAAAGTACCGTCGCGCGCAATATATCTTTCAGAACGCACGCAAGAAAGTTGCAACCGCATTCTTTCTCTTTCGTTTCGCGTCTCCTTTGCGCATACCTCCTACATTAACGCGTGAAACACTTTCATACATGTGATATACACTATTATTCATAGTGTCAAATTATATTTAGTTTCAGTTACTTTTAATAATTTCTATAGGTCCGCTACTCCTCCTACGATGTTGTTAATTCAACTAAAATCAAACAATTTAACTAGAAAAAAATGTATATTAACTTTGACTCAAATTTTATTAAGTGCATACGTTAATATATGTAGACATGTTATTTACTTTGAAACTAATCGCAGAAATGGATTGATTTACATGTTGAGACACATGGAAGTTAAAAGTAACAAAATGATATTTAACTAAAAAAAATTGGGGTTTATTACTTCTGATATGTAACATTAAATTTACATTCTTCTTTTTTGAAAAATTTTATTACTTCGGACGATAAGTTTCGATTTGTCTTATCCGATAAAGATCACGTTATATTAAATCATCATTGCTTGTTACACAAATATTGAACTAAATTTATTTATTACTGCACACTAAACGAAGAAATAATATTTAACATTGTTCCATTAGCAACAATCAGATTGGCGCCATAGCTTTTGTAAAAAACATTATATTTTTAGTTAAATCTGAATAATTCAGCGACAAATATCGATTCCACTCTATGAAAGATAAATAAGTTATGTGACTCATCCAATTATGCATTTATACAATGGTTCATATTGAAAAACAGCAATTTCACATTTATTACACGTATATACATATAATGCACCTAAATGTATTAATACGCGTCTAATGCTTCGATCGCGCATATTGGATATGGAATATTTTATTATATCGCATCAACACACAATAGCCATTCGAATGCAGGGACTGCGGTAGACAGATTTAATAACTGCAAAAA